CGACCCCACCCCAGGGCAGCAAACCCATCCTGATAGCTCCTGGTGTGAGGCTCAGTTGCCTCCAGGTCCCAGTAGCCCTTGGTGGCTGTGGGGCACAGGGGTATGTGGTCAGGTATAGCTGCCCCCGGGCTCCTGCCTCCCCCTGGGCAGCAGCTCCCTCAGAACAAACCCATCCCAATAGCTCCTGTGTCCCCCTTCTCCCTGCACCCCCTGGTTCTGTTTTGGGGGGGTCTCAGGGACCCTGAGCTGCCTGGGCAAGGGGCACCCACAGCAGCAGCATCAGGTTGTTTCTGTCTGCTCTGGCTCATCCTCACTGCGGTTTTAGGGGTCCTAGTGCTGGAGGGGTTGGTGTTTGGGGTGCAGATCCCCTCTCACATCACAGGTTACAGCTAGTTTGCAGCTGCAGAGCCTGGAGAGTCCCTGGTGTGGATGCTGAGCAGGGCCAGTTACCAGGATTTTCTAGAGGGGCAACTTGGGAGCATTTTCAGAGGCTCTGCCCTGGGTTAGAGGTACTTGCTCAGCCCCAAAGGTTTTGTCAGATTCTTCTTGTGCAGCCCCTGGTGCAGAGCTGTGAGGGCAGCCTGGAATGGCCTCGGTGTCCTGCTTTAACTGCCTCCCACTCCCAAAGCCCCATGACCATGGGGGTGGACAGAATGTCACCACCCTCCCTCTGTGCTCTACCCCAGGCTGGGGGAAGCAGCACAGAGCCCTCGGCCCCAGGATTATCCTGGAGGGTGGATCCAGTCCTGTGGCTGTTCTGGTGTTGGGTCTGGAGGGGGATCAGTTTGCAGGAGATGCAGAGCTGCAGCCCCTGGCCCTGCCTGGCTCACTGCTCTGACCCCCCAACAGCCTCCACATCACCAACACCTCCTTCTCCCCAGGAGTCTTATCCAGCTGTTCCCCCGATCTGGTCTGTGGAGTCGGACGATCCCAACCTGGCAGCTATCCTGGAGAGGCTGGTGGAAGTCAGGAAAGGAAACACACTGGTGAGGGGCCTTGGGCTGGGGAGAGGGGAGAGGCTGCTGCTCTGGGTGAGAAATCCCAGCTGGCACCTGAGACAGGGCTGGCTCTGGCCTCAGAAACATCCCAGAAACTTGGGATGAGTAGCTCTGACTGATGCTGGGATGGGATTTTGCCCCTGTGGCTGCTGCTGCTTGGAGCAGGATGGAGCAGCCCCAGGGCCCTCACTCGCTCAGGGCAGGTCTGAGGCTCAGCTCAGCACAAGGTCCTTGCTCTTCCCTGACACTCTCTGCTCTCCCAACAGCTTTTGCAGCACCTGAAGCGAATAATTTCTGACCTGTGCAAACTCTACAACCTCCCCCAACACCCTGATGTGGAAATGCTGGACCAGCCTCTGCCAGCAGAACAGGTGAGTGGTTCAG